AGAAATATAGTCTATTAGTAATTAAGAGTAAAACTATTTTAAAATTTTAGTTAAATAAAACGTAAAAAAAGAATCTTTAAGTATACAACTAAGAAAAAAATGCCGCAAAATATTTTGCCGTTAAAAAAACAAAACAAAAAAAACAGACGGATTTTAACGGATGTCAGAATTTGTTGAAAAATACACCCTTACCATCCCTAAAATTAACCTCTTTTTCGAACTTAACTCAGAATTGATACAACAATAGTTAATAAAAATGCATACGCTACCACCCCTTGTCTAAATGATTGGATTTCTCTGAATCCTTGGAAACAGTAAATTATGAAGTTATATCTGCGTTTAAAACTCAGTAAATTTAAAAATAAGTTATTCCAATATTCGCTTGAAGCTGAAACGGAACTAATGATTTTAATTTAATTATATAATTAAGTTTAAAGTTTTTAGATTCCATTTTTGAAACATAGTTATTACTGCGTAGCGAAAAACCATATTTTCAATCAGTTTATTTATAATATTATATATATATATATATATATATATATATATATATAGTTTCTAACTGCACACTTTTGCATACACAATGAGTTATATTATTTGACTTCAGAATACACAGCTTTCCAAGAAAATGAACACGTGTCTTTTTTATTTTTACAGATGCACAAAAATTATTTGCACTGACAACCATGTAAAACAAAAATTAAAAGTATTAATGTTGCAACTTTTAAGTTTTAATTAATATTTTTTTTTTATTTCAGCTTGATAAAAAAATTTGAAAATGGTTGTAATTCATTTAATAAAGGTTTTTTTTATTAATGAATATATAGTTTAATTAAGATTTGTTGATTATCTGGAGGAGCCCGAACTCTTGCGTGACGTCTTGAGAGGCTATTCTGATCAACAGTTCCATAATATCGGGATTCATGGAAGGGTGTCCCTGCACACACCTCCGCATTGGAAACCCTGAGGCAACATTATGTTGCAGTCTGTACCAGTTTCTTTCTGCCCATGTCACATACGAATAACGGCTGCTGCTATTACATTAGGTCTTTTCCTTACCAACATAACATGACCATAAACAACCAAAAATGTAAACCTACACCAGCTCAAAAATCACTTAAACCCTTTAACATTTCCTTCTCGAACATCTGTACTAACTTCTGCAGTGTGGAATCAGTCTCCTTCGAAAAGTCTCCTGATATACTAGCTCTCTGCGAGACTAATCCGTCAATAACTTCCTCTGAAGTCTCGATTCCTGGTGACCTTTCTCTCCTTAGAAAGGACTCTAAAATCCACATTTATGTTTGCGATCATCTCCCGCTATGTGTCTCTCTTTGGAATTTTCAGACCATTCATATATGTGTCTTCGTCTATCTCTCCTCAATTCAGTAAGCTATCTTTTCTTTCTCTATCGTTCTACTTTCTCTCAAGACTGTGGTGTACTCGATAGAGACCACCTCTCTACATCCGTTTGCGCACATTCGTTTTCGGTGACTTTAAAGGTCACCATAACATAACTGAAATACTTTCTAACTGACTTCGCTGGCAGCTAAATCCTGGACTTTTCAATCACTCAATCCCTCACGCAAGTGGTTGATTTTCGACACGTTTCCCCAATAAGCATGAAGATAATGTTTTCCTTCTCGATCTTGGTTTTACCTCCATCACTGACTCTTGCCGCGCTACGCAGCTCTGCCCTCTTGGCAACTATGATCAGACGGTAGTGTCTGGTAAAATCTCTTTCCACTCCCACTCCAGCGATGAACCTCCCACTAACAGAATATTTTTCTGATAGCAACGCGCAGACCGGGACTCGTTCTGTGACTGCCTTCATGCGTCCCTTGGAATATGTGTTTTTTTTTTTTTAATCATTCCGTTCAAAAATGAGCGTCTGAGGTTTCCGCATGGATAAAAGTCGGCATCGAGGCTTTCATCCCAGCAAGAAAATACAAATTTAAATCGATCTCATCTCCTTGGTTCTCAACTGCTTGCTCAGCTGCTATAGCTCACAGGAATCAATTCTTTCGTCTGTACCGAAACTTTGTGAATATGGCAATGAAAATGAGAATAACAGTCCGAGTAATGTAAATAATGCAAGACATGATAATACCACATCTCATATATATATATATATATATATATATATATGTGTGTGTGTGTGTGTATGCGTGGGTGTGTGTGTGTGTGTATATATATATATATATATTAAGAAATGGACAAAGTCCGACAATTTATTTTATTAAAGACATTTTTATATTTAACGTTCTTTTTATAGATACAAGTATTTAAGTAAATTTACTGTTTCAGGCCGGTAAATGTTATTTAATACTGTTTATTATAAATTCAGAGCATTTACTTAAATACTTGTATCTATAAAAAGAACGTTAAACATAAAAATGTTCTTTTAAATATATATATATACATATATATATATATATATATATATATATATATATATATATATATATATATGTGTGTGTGTGTGTGTGTGTGTGTGTGTGTGTGTATATATATATATATATATATATATATATAGTTAAATTCCCAGATGAATTCTGTGGACAAGACAGATTGGTATCAAATGACAATTGGGAAAAAAAAATCATACATTTTGCCGATGCGTTTCGTCTTCCGACTTTTTCAAGGCAAAAATGAAATCGAAATGTTTTTGTTGTTATAGTTACATTAAAATTCAAAAATAAAAAGATAGACGCTTCTGTCTAAGCTTTTTTCTGGTTAATGTAAATTACCTTTATAGTAAGGGATTATTATTTTTTTTTTCCACAATATAGTTAAATTCCCAGATGAATTCTGTGGACAAGACATATTGGTATCATATATATATATATATATATATATATATATATATATATATATATATATATATATATATATATATATATATATATATATATATAGGCACGGTGGAGTAGTGGATAGCGGCTCGAATTGAGGAATCCCAATCGAATCCATTACATTCACTTACGTGCTAATACCCTTGGGAAAGGTATTAATCCTCTTCTCTCCCCAGCTATGGGTAAAAAGCAGGACAGACTGGTTTCTATAGCCTTGGATGACAACTGGCCTAGGAGAAGGGCAACTCTGAATCGGCATCTGTGGAGGGCCGCTAGGTGACCTTGTCGCACGTAGTGCACCAGGTCTCTGTATTCGGTTCTTCAAAGTGTGGTTGGTTCTGCACAAAGCCTTCACCACTTTAATCAAATCATATGTCCAGGTGTCTGGCTTGTCGGTTCCTAGGAAATAAGCTGCTTGACTCTCATACTTCGAATATGACGGGAAAGTTCACTATATATATATATATATATATATATATATATATATATATATATATATAGTACGAAATGGTCACCAAATACAAGGCCCAAGCGTCAATCAAGGTATAGTGTTACTAAATGTGATTGTTTGGAGGTAGGTGGAGGTCATGAGGATATGCAAGATGCAGAAAGGTTTTCCCTAGACTTGAACTGAGATTTTAGTGATCAGGGAGCCACCTCTCAGGAGTCTGTTCCACAAATAACTTGTCTTGGAAAGAAGCTGTTAATGGAACTACCATTTTTCCAACAGAATACAAAGGGAATGCGGATGATTCAACCCTGTATATGTATCATGGCTTGTCCGAGCTGTAAAGGTCTGAATTTGTGGAACTAAGAAATTAGATCGTCTGAACTTTTGCAATTGAGTAGCGATAGATTTCATTGAGAGAAACGGGCTGTAGTCTTGAAAAAATTCATGGCCCACAAGGATGCGTAAATAATTTTGAACATTGTTATTGTTAAATATTCATATATACACAAGATGAAATCTGAATTTGAATATCATCCATGACCGCTACAAAAGCACTTCTCTCTTCTGCTTGCCTTCCAGCCATCTTCGAGTTTTAAAAAATTAAATGTAATGTCCATTGTTATCTGCTGTCTCCTTGATTCCTCTTTTTTTTAATTCTGCTCTATCCTTAATAAGGTTTTCTTTTTTCTCATATTCTCCTACATTCGGTGACCCTTGACTCTTAGTGGCTTTATAGCCTTTATTGGGGAGAAATAATTAAAAAGAAATTACAAGATTTGAAAGACCGACATTTTTTATTCAAGCCGAAAAGACAGCCTATGTTTCGAACTTCATCATTTTGAAGAACATTGTCACAAAATGCGATTGAACATTGCTTCCGGTATGTGTGCTCTTGCTTGTCGGTAGCAGAATTGCATAGCCAATTGTGGTGACTGTGTGGGAAACGAGTTTTGTGGATTTAAATTCGCTCTATCCAAAGATAATATCGTGCTTACTCTATCACTTATAGTCTCCTTCGCAATAAACAGTAAGTATTACTCGCATAGCCTACGCGAAAAAATCCTAGGATCTACCGAAAAAAATAGGTGGGGTTCCGGCAGCGCAAACCAACCGGATACATTATAGATTTTGCTGGTTTTTACACTGTAAGCAGTACTATTAGTGAGCCAGTATCCAAATAGTAGACTACTCCGAAAGTAGCTGTGAAAAATTGTTAGTGTACTTAGCTTTTCATGGCCAATATTCCTCGAGCTTTTTGCTATCACATCGTATCGTCAAACACACGCGCGTACACAAACGCATAGGCACACACTGCATAAGAGCGCAGACGCGAGAAACCAATAGACACACCCAAATACATCACCATCTTACCACGGCAACAGGGACAGACCCATTGAAATTGTACGAAGATAGTTCGCGTCAAAAGACAATCCGATAGATGACATTAATAGAGAAGCTGGCCGCAGTGCCACTTGCCAAAGAAGAGGTTTAGGCTATTGAACCGGACGAATGGACGGCGGATGTGGTCGTTGACGTCCAAAGGCTCATGTTGACAAAGTGATGAATAGGAGGCGGGCCCTTACCGTCTTAATAAGGGACAATGGTCGCCTGTCCCCCGGGAAAGAGTTTGGAATCGAATTAGTACTCAAATTGAAAATCAAGTCAGTCGTTGTGCTGCAATAAAGATTATGTCGGAATTAAATTGGGCAAAGAAAATGAAAGGCATGGCAAGACGGGAGGCGAGTATGAGTGAGAGGCGAAAAACATGAGAATAGGTGAGAGGAACAGAAAAGAAAGAAGAGGAGATGGGGAGTGGTATTGGATAAATAAAAAGAGGGGGGGTCAAGAGAAAGGAGAATAAGTGGTGGAGGAATAAGAAAAAAATATTGTATAAAGAAAAGGGACAGTAAAGAAAGAGAAAAGGAGAGTAAGAAGAAAGTCATAGGGAAAGGCATTAGATAAAGAAAAGACAGAGAAAACAAGAGAAACAAAGTGTACATGGTGAAGAGATGGGAAGAGTTAGATAAAAAAGAGACTTGCAAACAAGAGAAAAGAGAGTAACAGAGGGGAGTGGGAAGAGACAGCGGATAACAAAAGACAAGGTAAAACAAGAGAAAAGGAGAGTAAGAAGAAGAAAAGGGAGAGGCATCAAATAAAGAAAAGATAGAAAAAAAACAAGAAAAAAAAGAGTAATGGGAAGAGTAAGATAAAAAAGAGAGTTGCAAACAAGAGAAAAGAAGTAACAGAGGGGAGTGGGAAGGGACAGCTGATAACAAAAGACAAGGTAAAACAAGAGAAAAGGAGAGAAGAGTCAAATAAAAGAAAAAGATAGAAAAAAAACAAGAAAAAAAAAGAGTAATGGGAAGAGTAAGATAAAAAAGAGAGTTGCAAACAAGAGAAAAGAGAGTAGCAGAAGGTAATGGGAAGAGACAGCGCATGAATAAGAGAGCGTAAAGCAAGAAAAAAGGAGAGTAAGAGGAAAGTCATAGGAAGAGAGATTGGATAAAGAAAAGAAGAAATAAGCAAGTTGAAAAGAGAAAATAATAATAAGCAAATAAAGCGATGAAAGTGAAATGTGTAGGGTATTAGACATAAAGAAAGATGAGAAGAAAAAAGGAGAGTAATAATAAGTAGCCACTTTTGAAAGAAAGGAGGATAGGCATTGAATAAAATAGATTAGTTAAACAATTACGAAGAAGTAGTGGCAGGGATGGGAATTATAGAAAGAGAATTGATTGGAGGGAGATATTTGGTTAGAAGATGGGGTGGAGGAAGAGGAGAGAAAAAAGAAGTCATTTTAATTTTCTGCCATGTCTTTTAGTTTTTAAAAGATTGGAAGAATCTTGACGTAGAACAACAAGGTGCAGAATGGTCGAGATTTGAAGATGTTGGAAAGAGCGAAGTTAACGAGTTTTGAATTGATGCCAGGAAGAGAAGAAATATATAGTAACAAAATTTTCTTCATCTCCTCTAAAATAAAGAATCTTTTTATCTGTGGATGTAAAATTGGCAGAAAAAGAAAAGAAAATTCAAAAATGATGCTAAGGGAGACCGAAAGAAAAGAAATCAGGCTTAAAATTAAATGATGGGGGGAAGAAGAAAATTGTTCAACAAGGATGGTGTTTACGATAGAGTGTCGGTTTTTAGAAAGGGGACAGATTTAGAGCATCGATTTTAAGGGACAAACAGGAAAAAGAAAATATATTGTATTTGTCAGCTGGGAGAGTTCAGGAAGGAGAAATGCGGGAAGTTCAAAATGATAAGAGCACAACAGGAGCTGGGAGGTGGGGGTTCACTTAGCGATGGGGGCGAAAAGATATTGATATGTGTAAGAGGTCGAGAAATAGATGCGTTTTGAAAGTAATGCGGCTAGCAGACAAACAAAACCCTAAACATGTTTCTAAAAAAAAAAAAAAAAAATCACGAGACAAAACTAAAGCAAGGAAATGGAAAGAAGAGGAAGAATTGAAAAGACGGAGGTTGAGACAGAGGGAAAAAAGAAGGAAGACGTGTTAAGAAAGAAAAAGAAAGAATTAATGCAGTAGTAGAAAGAAAATGGAGAATAAAATATTTGTTTTATTTTGTTTTACACCATATCAACTTCAATAGGTTGTTTAACGCCGAGAAGTCATATTTTAAAAAAAAAATGTATTGTTGGTAATACTTTTTTCTTCAAAAATGCATTGCTGGTCATATATTTTTCCTTCAAGAATGTATTTCTGGTAATATTTTTCCTTCAAAAATGTATTGCTGGCAATAATGTATTGCTGGTAAGAATTTTTTCTCAAAAAATTATTGCTGTTATTAAAACCAATTTTTACACTTTCATGGTGTTTTGACTCTAGTTTTGGGGTTAAATAGTTGTCATAGTTTGGACCCTAACACCTTGGACTTGGGACCACCAGCAATTAAGAGGTGGTTCCGCTCTCCTCAGAATCTCCCAATCTGAGTCCTTGCTGTTGAATGTAGTTTATCGTCTTACCCAGGATACAGAGTAAGAGAGAGAATCTGTTTGGGTGCCTTTAAGAGACGAGTTGCTAAGCAAACTGATAAACAGTATTCAAAAAACCTCAGATAGTTTATTCATAGTTTAAGAAGATCAATCGATCAGTATATTGAGACGACTAAATAATTTTGTAAAGTATACATACTGTGTTGTAACCTAGGGAAGGTTAATGAATAGAATAATCCCGCGAAGGTTGGTAATGAACGATAATACTTAGGAAAAGACCAACACATATAAGATTCGCCAGCGGCGCGTCGGAGTAGTAGTCAAATGTGAGTCAAGTAAATTCCACAACTGCAGGATATCTACCAACCGCCCCACGCGGTCGTATGTGGAACAAGGCCGAATTTAATGTGGGGTATTCGAGCCCCTAAGTTTGGCCAAAAATTCCCCTTAGACACCGTATAAAACGGAGCCAGGTAGCTGTCTCCCGAGATGAGACTCTGCCCTTCGACAAAGCCTCGTTTGGGGATCCTCTCTGCCTGGAGACAGAGAGTTTGCTAGGACGGATAGAGACGAATATCCAACTGCATGATAACTACCAACCGCCCCATGCAGTCAGATTTGGCAAAAGGCCGAATTTAATGTGGGCTATTAATTTGACCCCCCATTAGGATCGGCCAAAAATTCACCGTAGACACCATATAAAACGGGGTCGGGTAGCTGTTTCCTGAAATGAGACTCTGCCCTTCGACATAGCCTCGTCTGGGGAACATCTCTGCTCGGTGTTTGACCAACACAGCTGGAGACGAATCTCTAATTACAGACCAACATACAGTATTTACTACTATATTTATGTGAATGAGGACATACCAATCATCGTCCGTAGATATGCTACAAAATACTGAATAACAGAGAAATGAAAGGTTATAGTATAATATTAATTTATTGTTAATTAAAACACAATTTCAAATTAAATTATTACTGCGACAAAAAAATGTATACCTGTGTGTGTGTGTGTGTGTGTGTGTGCGCGCGCACGTGGGTAACCTTTATTAAAAAACACCGTAAGATATTGATTTATTCAGTAATTTATCAGTCGATTAGAGAGAAAGAGAATCGGCGTGGACGTAGGAATCAACACTACATAGTGACTGTCAGTTTTATAATTTAAACAATCATCAGACCATGTGTACTCTGTTTACATCTATACATCCTATCTCCGTCAATGCATTTCCCCCATAAATATAATTTTCGTCAAGAACCCGAAAAAGATTTTGTGCAAATAGAGTATTATTATTATTATTATTATTTACTGCGCTTTGTATACTACGATTTGTCCACAAGTTTCAACCAAACACTTCAAGTGACAACAATTTTTTTCTATCAGAAGATCTAAACAGATGAAGCGTCGTGCAATCAAAGAAAATAAATGTAATATGTACATCCAAAGAAGAATCTGCAATGTTATTGTTCTTGACATGGCATTTCGGTTTCAGTCCATTCCTACCGCCGTAACGTAGCTTCCCTGTGACTTTTCTATAAATATTTTCATGATAATTGTTCTACTCAGATTTGATACTTCGACTTTATGGATTTAAGCGCAGTACTAGATTGGCAATTAGGTCTCATTATTTTACAATTGAAATGGCTAGATATAAACCGCAATTTCTATGTTAACAGTTTCTTCTATCGCACTTTTCACCTGTGGTGCTCTCTTCCCGTTTCCTTCTTTTCCAATCAAGTCAAAATTTTTAATCGTTATTTTCTGTCTTCTTGTTGTTTTGTGTTCTCTTCTTAATATTAGTTTTCCTCATATTCTCCAACACTCAGTAACCCCCTTTCATCTTAGTGGTTTCATTGCTTTTAATTGGGGCCATTGCAGGGATAAAAATGTATGGAAGATGTGAGAATTAACCATGAGTATGATTAATTATGTATTTTGGGGCTTCCAAGAATTTGTTCAACATACTGTATATGTCGGTGTACAAGGTGACCTTTTAACCTAAAAATTCCCCACCTCCAAAATAGGGGTCCGTCTTATACTCCGGGTATAAAATGTGAACCTTAAATACTATTAATAATATAATAATATTATATATCTTATATAATATGTGCTATGATTGCAAGATAACAATAAAACGCATATTCGTCAAGAGAGAAAACTAAAACGATCGTCTCACACTGTAGATTGTGATAGTTTATTGACAATATCTCACTTTCTTTTTTCGATGATGTTGAACGAAAACACAACTGGATGTGTGTCTCAACAAACCATTTAAAGATCGCATTCGAGGACAGTGGAACGAGCGAATGGTTAGTGGGTTAAACACATTCAGGCTACTCTTATAATCTACCGAAAACACAGTTCCCACTTATGAGGTATTATAGATTGTGGTAGTTAACTGACAATAGCTCCCCATTGTTTTTCATTAGGGTCTGAGTGAAAAGAAAATGTATGCTTACTGAATTTATTTAATAAATTCAATACAATACCTTTTAAAATTACGATTTGGAATTTTAAGTTGAAAATTTGAGTCGACTTATACGCCAAGTCGCCTTGTAGGCCAAGTCGCCTTGTAGGCCAAGTCGCCTTGTAGACCAAGTCGCCTTGTACGCCAGCATATACAGCATTTGTGATTGTTTCGTTTGGATTTATCTTTTAAAAACATGGATAGCGTTTTGCATAAAGGTGTAAAATGCGAACCTTAAATCCTGTAATTTATGTTAAATTGTTAGCATGGGATATTCTTGACATTAAGCTAAAGCCTTTCTCGCTTCCACTGCACCAACTCATGAGGTATTGTCGATTGTAGTAGTTAACTAACAATAGCTCCCACCGTTTTTTCATTGGAATTTGAGTGAAAACAAAATATATGCTTAGTGAATTTGTTTAATAAATTCAATAGAATAAATTTTAAAATACGGTTTAGGGTTCGTCTTGTACGGTGAATATAGCCCGAAATCTACATTTTAACTTTAAAATTCGGAGGTCGTCTTATACGCCCAATGGCCTTGTACGCCAGTATATACGGTATTCATTTACTGTTTTGGATATCATCCCCTCCCCTGTAACTAAGGGTAATGTTATTGTCTTGAGATGTCACATTCTTCTGATTTCTATTTTGAGGTCGTTGCATTTACTTTTTTACAAGCATGTGTTTTTGCCGCTTAGGTGTGCGACATCTATCAGATGACAGTTGTTTTCAACAGCATTTTTGCAAGTTATCTCTGGTCAATTTTCCTGGATTTCATTATAAATCTGAACGCTTAAATTCCAGAATATGGTAACAGCATCGTTGTCTGAAACTTATGGTGGCTAAAATTCCCCAAAATTTTCTTTCTGAGGGAGGTTGAATGCGCAATATATTGTCCAATATGTGTACTAAGCACTCTTATTATGCTGCTGTTGTTTTTGTTGCTATTATTATTATTATTGTTATTGTTGTTGTTCATCTGTATCCGCTGTATGCCCAAAAAGAAATACAAGAGATTACTCAATATAGCTTAGTCTTACACAAGGCCATCGCTCTACCTTAAGTGGCTCTTAGGCTTTGTGAACAATAGGAAAAAGAAAAAGTGTACACCAAATTCACTATTATAGCAAATTGATAGTTAATAAGTCTCATACCAAACTATGACATACGTTTTAATTCAAACTTGTTTCACAAGGAAATGTTTATTTGTTAAGCATTAGTATAGGCTGGCACATGGTCAGAGTGCTGCTCAGTGAATGATCGGTCTGCGACATGTGCTTGCTAAATATCGTTCTGCGGCTGGCACCTAAGAAGCAAATGCTTATGAGAGAGGGAACAATTGATTGAAAGGTTAAACATATCAAGAATGGTAGAAAGGAAAAAAAATGGAAGAAAATGTTTTATTAGATTAGGAATGAAAAGAAGAAAGAATGAGAAAAATTGAGACAGAAACAAGTGACTGAAAAAAAAGAAAATAAATATTTCAGGAAGAAGTAAAGGAAAAATAAAAGAGAAAGAGAAAAATGCGGTCTGTGAGGATGTGAATGATACTGATGATGAGGGTAGGGACAAAGACGAGGTTTCGGGTCGGACGTGGGGGGTTTGAAGGTCGATCATGGGAAACAGTTAATCTGCTCTTCACACTGT